AATAATTTATTCAAATTCAATAAACGATTTGATTTGAATTCTATTATTTATTTGAATTCAATAAATCTCATTCTGAAAAATGGAAATGACAGTTGAGATAGATTAAATGTTAAGCAAAATGTTGAATGATTTTTCTTAATGACGAGCGATAAGAAATTGTATTTCCTGAGGGAGAAAATAGCACAGCTTATTTTAAGATTGCAAAATCTCTCAGGTTTTGATTTTTTTTTGCAATTTCAAAAGACATTTCTAGAAATCATTCATCAGTATTCATCAGAGTCCAATGGCTCCTAGAGGTGTGACTGACAAGGTGAGTCTTTACTAATACACAGCTAGAGAAATTTTTTGTTCGAATTTAACAATCTATTCAATATCCTATTTAAATTTTATCATTATTTTAATAATATTCTATTAGGGGAGGTTGGGGTAAAATGGACACTTTTGACTTTTTTTTAAATATTAGTGACGGGTTGAAATGTTGACGAAATTTAATATATTTTTTTTTCAATACAAAGAATAATTCTTTCCCTTTGTGATGAGCCTAAACTGAGAATTTTAAAAAAGTATAGTGTCCATTTTACCCTACCCTCCCCTATTCATTTTATTTGAACTCAATAAATCTCATTCTGAGGAATGAAAATTACATTTCAGTTCACTTTTTAGTGGAAAATGAAGACTATTTTTCGATGAACCCGAAGGACCTGTCTTAAAAATCCAAAAACTTCATATACACGAAACAGCAAAGAATGTTGATCAAATCGGAGCAAAACCCTCGAAAATATCCTCGACATATCCTCTACATTCCCAGAAAATCCTCGAATACCAACAGAACGAAAACCCAATGAATCACGAATTCTTCATCGAAATTTGACGTTATAAATAAGAATTTATATCAAAAAGTTGTTTTATAGGTTATGTAAATCACATTCAAATAAAAACATACCTCCGTGTTCCTCCAAACACCCCCTTTTATCATAATTCTCGGCATGACGAAGGATGACTTCTTTCAACACACAAGGGGACCAAAAACAACAATTAATTACTCGGGACACATGAATTAAATGCGGAAAACTCGGCGTATTTAGCACTCCGAGTTATCTCCATCAAACTGAACTAATAGGCGTCTCCAGAGGACCCAGAGGCTTCCAGCCAATGACAGTCTGCGGATACCCTCCGCTGGCCAATGAAAGTCCTCCATTCGCCCTCCACCTCCGACATCTCAAACAGAAATAATCAATTAATTAATTTTTCTCGATTTAATTAAAATTTGTGGAATCTTTCAACTATTGTCCTTCTCTTCTTCACCTTCTTCTCTTCTTCTTGTTCTTCTGTTTGTCCCAGTGATTTTACTTTGATTGGGGGAAAATAAAATATTGGACTGAATAATACAAATATTTTTGATTATTTTGACTAAAGTGGTGCCGGAAGTGGGTGTTAGTCCATCACTGGGGCGATTGCCGTTCTCCCCTCGAACATTTTGTCACCGGTAGGCATTTGTCGGGTCACAACACGTCTTCTGATTGCATTTCGGAGCAGTGAGATGCGTAAGTACAGCAGTCCCCGATTGCCCTTCGTAATTCGTTAGTAAATGCTTTGGCTATTGTTGCTTGAGGCCTTCGGAGCGCTCGAACTGTGGAAATTGTGAGCAGTGGATCGATAACAGGGACTATTGTCGAGTGGCTTTGAAATGTCATTCGTGAAATGGGGCGTTATCGAGGGGCACTGGACCACAATAATCTCACGATCACAAAAACATTGTTATTAACATTTTTACAAAATTCTTCGTGAAGACTAGTTGGAGGTGAGTGTTTTTGATTGGCGATAACTCGGGAGTGGCAGAGTGAAATTTCAGGATTTTTTTTTCAGTTTCGAGATTGTTTTTTGAGATTTAAAAAGAGCTCTGGTTAATCCTAATTGCATCATTTGGTCGGGAGATATTCATGATTGAAGACAGATGTTTTGAGTTTTTGTGTTCAACTTTTTAAAAATTTAGTTTGCAATTTTTGGAATTGATGGGACATGTTTCGTTCTGGCTTTGAAATGTCATTCGTGAAATGGGGCGTTATCGAGGGGCACTGGACCACAATAATCTCCTAATCACAAAAACATTGTTATTAACATTTTTACAAAATTCTTCGTGAAGACTATTTGAAGGTGAGTGTCTTTGATTGGCGATAACTCGGGAGTGGCAGAGTGAAATTTCAGGATTTTTTTTTCAGTTTCGAGATTGTTTTTTGAGCTTTAAAATGAGCTCTGATAAATCCTAATTACACCATTTGGTCGGGAGATATTCACGGTTAAAGACAGACGTTGTGAGTTTATTGTGTTCAACTTTTTTAAAACTTAGTTTTTTCTTTTTGGAATTCTTGGGAAATATTTCGTCCTGTTCTAGGGCCATTGTCAAGTGGCCTTGAAATATCACTCATGCAGGGGGAGGGGAGGTTATCGTGAGCCCGTCGACCCCAATCATCTCACAATCACAAAAACATTCTGATTAGAACTTTTTCCCAACACTTCATCAAATTACTTGAAGGCTACCGACTTCAATCTTCGATAACTCGAGAATGGCAGAGTGAAATCCCCTATTTTTGCTCTCATTTTCAAACTACTTTTCCAAGCTTTAAAATGAGTTTCGACTGATCCAAATCGCACGATTTGCTCATGAGATAGGGCCAATTGAACACAAACGTTTTTAATTTTTAATTTTTTACATAAAAAAAAATTTGTTCCAGTTCTAGAGTAGCAGAAGGCTAAATCATCCTCAGTCAAGATGATCGGCGGCCTCTTCGTGTACAATCACAAGGGAGAGGTGCTGATCTCTCGGGTCTACCGAGATGACATCGGTAGAAACGCTGTGGATGCATTCCGAGTGAATGTCATCCACGCTAGACAGCAGGTGAGATCGCCAGTGACGAATATCGCAAGAACATCGTTCTTCCACATAAAACGGGCTAATATTTGGCTAGCAGCTGTCACCAAGCAGAACGTCAATGCTGCCATGGTCTTCGAGTTCTTGCTGAAGATCAATGATGTCATGCAGTCGTATTTTGGGAAGATTTCGGAGGAGAATATCAAGAACAACTTTGTGTTGATTTATGAATTGCTTGATGGTGAGTGCATCCAGAAAGTGTTTTATTCACACATTTCAATGTCTATTTTTTTATTGATGTATTCAAATTTTTTACTTAATCGAATGAATGTTTGAAAGGATTTATTTGGAATTAATGAATCAATTATTTATTCTATAGCTCAACGAGAACATTTTTTATGAAAAAATATGTATATTTTTTATATTCAGCACAAAAAAAAATGAGTTTATAGAGAAAAATGAGTTAAAATAATGAGTTCATTAATTTCCGAGAGAAATAATGTTGACCAAAATAGAAAATTTCAAACATTGAGCTGCATCGATCATCAATTTAGTAAAATTTTGAGAAGTTGCATCCTACAATATTAAGATTTACATATTTCCACTGAAATTTGAAAAATAATATAATAATTGGCAATTAAAATTTTTTCAATTTACATTTTTAATGAGAAAATATGTAAATTTTTTTATATTTAGCATAAAAACAATAAGCTTATGCAGAAGAAATTAGTTAAAATAATAAGTTCATCAATTTCCAAGAGAAATAATGTTGACAAAAATAGAAAATATATATACATATTTCAAATATAGAGTGGCATCAATCATTAATTTAGTAATATTATGGGAAATTGTATCTGACAATAATTAAGATTTACTCATTTCCATTGAAATTTTAAAAATAATGTAATAATTGGCAATTTAAATTGTTTTCAATTGACTATTAACTAAATAACTGATAATGAGGAATTGTCAATTAACTATTGAGTAAATATTTCTGAATGCCACAAAATTTTTTATTCGATTAGATTAACAAAATAAATCGGAGTTTGAATATATAAATTGATGATTAATTTACTAATTAACAAATTGGTGAATAATTTTAAAAATTGGCTTATTTAAAATTTAACTTTAATTAAAATTTGTGATTATGTCGACGTCTGATTTCAAACAGTGTTTAATTCCATTCAAATGTGTCATTTTTGGAATCACAAATTTATCTCGTTACTGAGTAATTTTCATTAAAAAATGTAAAAAAATATTTTTTGCAGCCGATAAAATATTCCATAAAAAGTATTCTCTGATGATTTTTCGTAAATCCACTCATAACGAAGATACTTCACCACTTAACAAATGAAAAAATTAATTTACTGTGTTATCACATCGAAACTGACACCATTCTCCCCTTTTGTCCTTGATTATAATTAATTAACAACTTTTGACGCTTCCTGCAGAGATCCTGGACTTCGGATACCCCCAGAATTGCGACACTGGAGTCCTGAAGACATTCATCACCCAGCAAGGAGTGAAATCAGCGACTAAGGAAGAACAAGCACAAATAACATCTCAAGTGACTGGGCAAATTGGCTGGCGTAGGGAGGGGATTAAATATCGTCGTAACGAGCTCTTCCTGGATGTTCTGGAGTACGTCAACCTGCTGATGAGTCCCCAGGGGCAGGTCTTGAGCGCACACGTTGCTGGAAAGGTAATTAAACACTTCTAATTTTTTTTCAATTCAATAGCGAAGCGGTAAACCGGGTTAATTAAGTCTATTTTGATGATTGACCAGTTTTTGACGAATATCTCAGAACCTAAAAGAGATAGAAAAATTTTTGTCACGACCTTTTTTGCAGCGCCAATTGAGGGTTATAAAAAAGGTTATGAGAAAAATTTTGCTGTGTCTCTTAGATTCCAAGATATTCATCAAAAATTGGCCAAAAGTCAAAATCGACTTAACCCGATTTACCGTTTCGCTACTGAATTATTCGCTCTTTGATTTAAATTATTGTATTTAATTTTTTCCTGTGAATTATAGTAAAATTGAAACAATTTAATCATTTTGAAATCGAACTATTGAACTATTTGAATGATTTTTTTTTATTTTTGTCTGTTGAACTATTGTTTTTATTTTTTGTATTGTTAAATTGAACTTTTTTTTTGTCCACAGGTTGTTATGAAGTCATATCTGTCAGGAATGCCCGAGTGTAAATTTGGTATCAACGACAAGATCGTAATGGAAGCTAGGGGAATGAAGGGCGCAGGGACTCTGGGAGGTGGCGACGATCCAACTGGCGCCAGATCTGGTAAACCAGTAGTTGTTATCGATGACTGTCAATTTCACCAGTGTGTCAAGTTATCGAAATTCGAAACTGAACATTCCATTAGTTTCATACCACCTGATGGTGAATTTGAGTTGATGAGGTAAGTTTTTCTCAATTAAATATAACGATTTTGTGAAGCGAAGTTATCAATGTATTTTTCTTAATTGCGAATTATGTCGAAAATTAATGAATTTAGGAGAAAATGTGGTAAAAAGTTTTTTGTAGAATACGAAATTTCCTACGAAGAATATTTTTTGATATTTTAGTGTGCAGGATAATTAAAAATTAAGCAAGACGTAAACAATCCTTATCAAATCAATTTGCCAATTAATTTTTTTTAATTGTGAATTATCGTAGCAATAATTAGAAGAAAGAGAATTATTTTCTGTAGTTGAAGAAATATCACAAAAAAGCACAAATGTTCAACATTTTTCCTTAAATATCTATTCAAGAAAACCTTGAAACGCAAATTGTTCCGCGAGTTAATGCAAATTATCGCGAAAATGAGTCATTTTAGGGGGAAATATCAAGAAAAATTTTTTGTAGAGTATGAAATTCCCTACAAAACATATCTATTGACATTTTTTACATCCCCTTCCTCCCAACATAATTAAAAATTAAACAAGACTTGAAAACATCTATTTATGAAATTGATTCACCAATGAATTTATAAAATTGCGAATGATCTTAGCAATAAATTGGAAGAAAATGTCAAAAAATATTTTCTGCAGCTGAAGAAATGGCACACAGAGAAAAAATCTACATGTCCCCTGAATAGCCATTTGAGAAAAAAATGAAACAAAAATTTATGAATTAAATTGAATTAAAATTGAATTAAAGCCATGAATTAATGAATTGTGAATTAAAATTGAATGAAATCGACCAAATACCTTACTTTCGCCTAATTTTTCCCATTTTTCCTTCAGATATCGCACAACGAAGGATATATCACTGCCATTTCGTCTGATCCCCCTAGTCCGCGAGGTTGGACGTACAAAAATGGAAGTAAAAGCAGTACTAAAATCCAACTTCAAGCCCTCCCTCCTGGGTCAGAAGATCGAGGTGCGTGTGCCAACGCCCCTGAACACAGCTGGCGTCCAACTGATCTGCCTGAAGGGCAAAGCCAAGTACAAAGCCTCCGAGAACGCCATCGTCTGGAAGATAAAGCGAATGGCCGGTATGAAGGAGACTCAGCTGTCAGCTGAAATCGACCTCCTCGAGACTGACACCAAGAAAAAATGGACAAGACCACCGATCTCCATGAACTTCGAGGTACCCTTTGCCCCGTCTGGCTTCAAAGTGCGTTATTTGAAGGTCTTTGAATCGAAACTCAATTACTCCGATCACGATGTCATTAAATGGGTCAGGTACATTGGACGCAGTGGCCTCTACGAGACGAGATGCTAATGAATGAAGTAATTATCGAAATATTTGCTGTTCGAGGGACGCATTAATTGCAGAAATATTGATTTGTTCAGTGATTTGTTGATTGATTAATTAATTTATTGGTTAATCCATCGATTTAAAATTGAAATCAATTGATCAATTATTTTTAAAAACTCGGAAAAGTTGTGCACAATCTTGATTTCAATGTTTTTAAAAATTAATTATGTATTTATCTCGTTAATGAGTAGTTTTGGGGGAAAATGTCAAAAAATATTTTTTGGAGCTGAGAAAATGTTCTACAAAAAGTTATTGATGATATTTTCTCCTAAATCCACTCATCACCGAGATAATTCAACAAACAGAAAACAATTAATTTATCAGATTAGCTAAAGTTCATTGATTTGTCGATTGATTAATTAATTATTTATTTAATCCATCGATTTAAAATTAAAATTGATCAATTGTTGTTTTCATTTATGAATTAATTAACTGATCAGTTAATTCTTCAATTTAAAATTGAAATCAATTGATCAATTGTTTTAAAAAATTAAATATGCATTCATCTCTTTAATGAGTAGTTTTGGAAGAAAATGTCAGAAAATCTTTTTTGGAGCTGAAGACAATGTTCTACAAAAAGTTATCTCTAATGTTTTCTCGTAAATCCACTCATCACCGAGATAATTCAACAAATGAAAACCAATGAATTTACCAAACTAGCTAAAGTTCATTGATTTGTCGATTGATTAATTAATTACTCATTTAATCCATCGATTTCAAATAAAAATTGATCAATTGTTGTTGTCACTCATCAATGAATTAATTAATCAGTTAATTCATTAATTTAAAATTGAAATCAATTGATTAATTGACCATTAAAAAGGGATCTTGATAAAGAAAAAACGCATTCTTCAGAATAACTCGATGCCAAAGAGTTCATCATTTACTTAAACTGATGAATTTCCCAGGGCGGAATCAGTGTTAATTCTGCTGAATTTACATAACGAGAGGAGATCACCATGACAAGTCTCTGAACATCTTCAGGTTTTTTTGAACTGAATGCAACTCTTTGGTACCAGTGTTACTGAATCACTATTGATGAACAATTGTTGAGGTTTACTCGGAGAAGATGAGAGTAATTGTGGATAATGTAATGATGAAAATCGTAGATACTATGATTGATGTTGATATTCATTGTATTAAAATGCGGATGAAATTACTAATGAATTACTGATTTTGTCTGTACGCTTCGAATCACATATTGAATCTCGAAATATATGTATAAATGAAGGATCGTTACGTTTTTATATTCTTCAATCACTTCTCGTTATTTTTAATTGACGCAGTGAACAACTGTTTTTGGATTTGGATTATCAACATGATTTTTTTATTCGACATATGACAACTGATGGCAATGGTTTCAGTGAGGAACAAGCTCGCAAGAATACTATAATAAAGTATTTCTAGTTCTACGAGTAAAGTCTAAATCAGGTTTACAAATTTCCACATTAAAACAGTCATTCGCTAGATGCTGGGGGTGTATCGTCTGCAGTGTGTTATTGTCAGTTTATTCTTGACCCTGCGTGCTGAAAATAATGAGGAAATAAGTGATTCGTTGGCTGAGTGAAATAGCTTGATTATTACGCGATTTCTTTTGAAAATTCATTAGCAAAACTAAAACTGTTCAAGTAGATTTTGACTACCGCTCGGTTTTCGATGAATATCTCAGGATCTGAGGGAGATATCAGGATTTTTCTAAGAACCTTTTTTGTGGAGCGGACTGAGATCTACAAAAAAGTTCACTACGAAAATTTCGCTATCTCCCTTGGATTCGGAGATATTCCTCGAAAACGGGGAAGAGCTAAACTTGAATTGTTTTACTGTTTTGCTACTGAAATGATTTGATTCTCTCGTTACGTCGATCGTCAATTTGAAATACACTACATTCATTGATATATGTCCCCTCGCGTTTACACCACATGAAGTCGAATGATCCAGACATACCAAATACATTTAAAATTATGATTTATTAGTGCTCTTAAGATGACTTCCACGTTTCTCCATAAAATTATCAATTCACACAACCTTCATTCATATTAACATTACTCTCGCCACTCTCTCACCGATCTGTGAACATATTCATCACATATTTCGAGACTTATAGATACACTTCGGTGGGATATTTCAGCCTTTCTCCGTCAAAAGTGACAACGAAAGCTGAATCATTCGGGGATTAATTCCAATTTTAACTTTGATTAAAAAAAGGACGTGATAATTTTGGTTTTTGCTTCCGAATGGAGGCAAATTTATAATTTTTTGGGGAAGGATAAGCCATTTTGGCCTCAGGAGTTTGAATATGCCACTTGACGGCATCATGTGTTGGTGAAAAAAATTATTTTTAATCCAATATTCAGGGAAAGGTGAACAATTTTAACGTTGGGACAATGTTGAATTCAATGAATCATTGAATTTGAGTTGAAATACATCGTCATGGAAATTCCATTCGGAAGCAAATTGCTAATTGATTAGCAAAAATATATTGACTATGTTGTGATGAAAGCAATTTCCCACTTGTTTTCTTTTATCGAACTCCACCATGGATTATTGTTACCTGATAAATTACAAGATGTACGGCAGTCTTGAGTATGTCTTTATCATTTTCTGACGGTGAGAAAACAGGTGAAACCGGTCAATTTATTGAGTAAGGGAGAGTGGGGCAGAGTGAAGCCTCCTTTGACGATCAAGGCCTGTCCACTCAGCCCCATTCCTCCCCCAAATTATTCCAATTTCACCGTGCGAGTCAGTCTCAGTATTAATGTAAAATTTGTTTGCACCAACAGCAATATTATCATTCACTCTGGATAAAAAGCGTCACCTTTCAACTCTTAATCGCTGAAATGAACTTACCAATGTCGCATTGAATTCACAAGTAAATAGTTCACCTATAATTTTCATTACAAACAAATTTGAGTCAAGAATTTTCCACGTTATCAACTATCAATTCACTCACTCCACACTTTATTGTATTGTTTTTTTTTAATCGAAGAGCCTCAACGCGTCGTAGATATGATTTCACATCGTTTAATAGTGATTATAATTATACCAGATTACGTCTAGATTTTTCTAATTTTCTCATCATCAATTTTCTAACGTACACCTCGATCTCTAGGAGTTAACGTTCTATCTCATACGCTGAGTTATTTACAGTTACCAACAGGAACATTTTCTCAATCAAGCTTCATTATTGCATACATGGTGACAATGTCAGACCCGATGCTCGCGACTAGGCCAAATAAATAAAACAGAAAATGCTGCGGAAAATTTAATTTACATTTCAACAGCGAACCGGTAAAACGGTCAAATTCGGCTTTTATTTCCGAATCCAAGGGAGATAACGAAATTTTCGTAAAAACCTTTTTTGTAGCCCGCAATTCGCTCTACAAAAAAGGTCATAAAAATTTTACCGTCTGAACCGTTTTACGGCTTCGCTACTGTTTTGTAATTCATATTTTCTGAAAAACTTTAGTCTGGGGCATTCATCCGGCAGTTGACTCCTCAACAAAGCTGGCAAAACACTCAATTACCCAAATATAAAAGTAAAAAAGAAAAAAACAAACTTTGGACAAATTTTATGGTGTTTTTTTGGCAATAAATTGGTCCCGAAAAGTAAAAGACATACAAATAACGAAGAAATAACTCTCTTCTTTCGATTAAAACCCATAAGTAATGGTGAAACAATATCTTTGCTCATGGTTACACAAATTATCACAAAGATTGTCTCTTAACATTTCAAATCCCCCTCGGTTGAACAATAATGGGCGGTGATAATGGCAGAGATTCAGGTATATTAATTCTTACATTAAAATTTTTTTTCGTTATGGCGTCGTTGACAACGGTATCGTGAGTTTCAGCCCTCAAAACAATATTTTCCCTTCATCATCCCCCTCTCAGTTTTATCAAATTTTCGTGGGTCGAGTGCCTGCTGGAAGTTTACACTTATGAATTAATAGTAAGAAGCCCTGCATCAGCCTTTGAGAACAGCCATATTCAAGATCTTCACTCGACAATAACTCGAGAACCGCAGAGTAAAATTCCCCTATTTTTTTCTTCATTTTCAAGATAATTTCTTCGTCTTTAAAAAGAGCGGTGACTCGCCCAAATCGCATCATTAGATCGGGAGATATCGACGATTGAAGACAGTTCGTTTTCTCCCACTTTATGGAGTCGAAAAAATGATCAAATAATTTTTTCCATTTTCAATCGGCAATAACCCGCGAACGGCAGAGTGAAATGCCCCAATTTTTTTTTTCATTTTCAAGATAATTTTCGAGTTTTCAAAATGAGACCTGACTTGTCCAAATCGCATCGTCTGCTCAAGAGATATTTACGATTGAAGACCATTCAAATTTCCCAATCGGAAAGTTTCATTCTCAAAATATACCCAAAAATCAATGAATATGTGCTTGCAAAGGCTGATCATTAATATTGAAGATATTAAAATTGCTCTCATATGTACATTTTATAAACAAAGTTTTACATGAGCCGAGATACAACATCATTGACATATTAAATCCCCATTTTTCCGGATGAAATAATTATTTCCATTTCTCTGTCATGACTCTGTACTCTCGTGCTCTACCTCGGCGTAACAATTTTTTTCCCTCAATTTCGAAGCGCAGCTCCGAATGAAAACAGCATTATATCACATGATTCCTGGCTAACCAATGCTACATTAAATGATTTATTAATCTCGTCTAAATTCCCCTGTAAATGTCTAACCACCGAATTTCCGGATTTTTCACACCTCGAAAAACCCAATTTCCTCGTTTTCATTTCTTGGTCGTTACCTAATTATTTTCCACTAGTGCACAATCACAAAACTACTTTTTGTATTGTTTACTCATTTATTTATTCTCATAAGAAAATTTTACTCCCGACACTTGTTGAAGTCAACATTTGCATGAATATATTTATTCCTATATTTTTCTGTTTTTTTTACATTATTCTGATTTTACACGTGTAAAAAAATGCTATAACGTTGGCTATAGAATTTTCTATAGAATTTTCTATAGAGAATTATATCGAAAATTTGGACATTCCCAATCGGAAATTTTGGATATAATTGTATAGAGCTTTCTATAGGATTTCTTATAGAACACTGGCTATAGGATGTTCCCCCGAATTTTCGTTTGCAATATCTGTAGAATGCCCGATAGGATTTTCTGCAGGACGTTCTATATGATCTATAGAATGGCCTATAGAATATTCTATAGGGTTTCCTATAGAACGGCCTAAAGGATTTCGAATAGAATTTTTCATCGGATTTTCTAATAGGGAATCATACGGAAAATTCGGACATTTCCTGCAGAAATTTTTGGATAGAATTGTCTATAGAACTTTCTATAAGATTTCCTATAGAACATTGGCTATAGGATTTTTAATAGATTTTTCGATTTGATTTTCTGTAGAATGTTCGATATGATTTTTGCAGGACGTTCTATATTATTTTCCATAAAATGGTCTATAGAATTTTCTATAAGTTTTTCTATAGAACGGCTTATAGGATTTCTTATAGAATGCCTTATAGAATTTTCTACAGAAAATCTTATCGAGAATTAAAAAATTCCCTACAGGAATTTTCGGACGGGATTGTCCCTATGATTTTCGATAGAATTTCCTGCACGACTTCCTATACCAAATTCTATAGAAAATCCTATGGAATTTTTTCACACGTGTAACGGTGGCATTATCCGCAGAGCCTCTGGATAACAATTTACATCGTTAAATCTCTAATTCCATGGAAGTTTATTGTCATTGTGAAACGAAAGAGTTCGAAAAATCCAAAGTACTATCGAAGAAATACTCTATTTCTAGAAGTAGATCTCGCAGATCTTCTATTGATGATGAAATCGTGGGAATCGAGAGACACTGCGGACGGGGGAAAGAATAATTACTCTCAGAAATTCAACAATTACGTCGTGCATTACTCGCTCGAATTTTAATTCTTCAAATCAACTTTTTTTCCTCTTGTCTTTCAAATAAATAAATAAACAAATTATTAACGAATTGATTAAATTGATTTGTCTCTCTATATTTAACATTTTTCCCCACTGTCTTATCCAATTTTTCGATTATTTTTCATTAAAACTTTCTGCAAATGTCAAAAAATTTTGAATACAAAATATAAAATATAACTTAAAATATAAAATATAAAATCTATAGAATGAATATTTTTTTTCAACATTCATCGTTAACATCTCCGATCAAATAAAAACGCCCGACGTAATTGTCTGTTGCTTGATTTACCTGCAGGACCCCACCACCTCCGAAAAAAACTCACAATTGAAACATTCCACTGCACTCACCTGAGTCCTCTCCCAAAATTGAAAATTCACTATTAGTAAAACATCACACCTGCTTCCACTCACAGTGTCCAGTGAATTGATACCAGTTCTGGGCGTTACGTTCAGACGTCACTTATCCATTCCAATTTACTAAAATATTCTCTCATTGAAAATTACGGGAATTATTACAAAAAATTTTGGTGGGCAGTGATGACACAATGGCTCTGCAATAATTATCCCTGCTGTTTAATCTGGAACATTTGAATAATGGAAATGTGCGTCACACCGTTGTAACACGGTCAATTTCAACGTATCGCACAGAACTGTCGCTTTGTCAGCATATCACTTCTTTTCCATCGATTATCGCTGTCTCTGATGAAATGCTCTTCAAGCGATGCTGGGAGATTGAGCGATTTGTTTTTCGCCGTAGTACGCGCCATGAGACGAAGATTATAGCGCCGATGACTGATAGAATTAGAAGGGCACCAACGGCTAGATGAAGGGGCGGCAGGCGAAGGAGCATGGAGCAGTGGGTCAATGCTTCGTCGTAGCCCGAGGGACAGTGGGAGGTGCCGTCACACCAGAGGGACGCATTTATGCAGGCATCCAACTCTGGACAGCGTTGCTCGCAGTCTCGCGGCATTTGGAGCCCTTCCGGGGGGGTCTTCAGGGCTGGCCTGTTACGGGTTTTTTCACTTGAGAATCGATTCGTTGATTGGGGGGAGCTGAAGCTTCAGGATAAATTTGCTGGGGATTTTTGGATGAAAAACGCTTTAAAAGGTTTTTTATAGCAGATTCTATAGAATTTTTCATTGAATTTTTAATGGAATTCTCTATACGATTTTCTATAGGGTTTTATATAGGTTTTTCTATTAAATTTTCTATAGGGTATGGGTGGGTTGCATATGGAAAATTCAAATGTTTTCTATAGAATTTTTTGGATGTAGTTTTCTATAGGGTTTTGCTATAGAGTTTCTATAGGAATTCTATCGTTTTTTAAATGGATTTTTTAAATAGATTTCCTATCGCATTTCCTGTGGAGAATCATATGGAAAATTCATTTTCTATAGAATTTTTGGATATAATTTTCTGTAGGATTTTGCTATAAAGTTTCTATAAGAGTTTTTATTTGATTTATTATGGGGTGCCCTATAGGATTTCCTATAGAATATTCTATTGCGTTCTCTATAGGATTTTTTATACGATTTTCTATCGCTATCCCTATAGGGAATCGCATGGAAAATTCGAACATTTTCTATAGAAATTTTTTGATATAATTGCCATAGGAATTTCTATTGGGTTTGTTATAGGGTACCCTATAGGCTTGCCTACTGATTTTTCTATAGGATTTTCTATAGAATAATCTATTTGGTTCTCTATAGGATATCTTATAGTGCCCTATAGGAGTTTTGATAGAATTTCCTATAGGAAATCTTATGGAGATATTGAATCTATTCTATAGGATTGTCTATAGGATTTCTGTTAAGAGATTATTCACTTCAGAATCGATTCACTGCTTGAGACAAATTTGTTTCGTTTCAGGTAGAATTGAATTTATAAATTTCAACTGCAAATAAGACCGAAATTTATAATTTTCATTATCTTGTAATTTTATGGGAAAATCAATGGAATATGTTATTTTTTAAGCAAAATATTGCCTGAAACTCATTACTTTCTCTGAGAAACTTCAAGATTTCGGAAAAATTCCATGGAATTGTTAGAATGAAAAAAAAATTCTCGAATGATGGTGAAAGCTCACATTTTCCCAACAAAGATTCTGAGAAAATTTCACTCTCTCAATTGGGAAGTAAATCGACAAAATGACATTTTTGACATTTTCAACAAAATGACATTTTTGGCATTAATGCGCTCGACATTAAATCAATGCCTTTACCTCCTCGTCATCTCAAGCCACGTGACAGTGTGGATGTCTGGCTCGTTAACGATGAACTCAACGGCAACGCTCCTCATCGGATCGAAGCTTGGAGCGATCAGCATCGTTGCGTAACTCTGAGTCGTCCAGCCCTTGCTGAAAACCCCGACGACTTGATGTCTCGAGTCACTCTCAGGCCTCGGACACACAGCCACGTTGAGAGTCCCCCCTGTGTGCAGGATCACTCTGTTCTTCGTTAGGCATTTCGTGTCATTCTTCATGATCCTTCCGTGGGTCTGCACGTAGAGGTACTGATTGGGGCCCGGATCTATGAGCCATGGGTGGTTTCGACAGTAGCTCTGAAGTAAATATTGGAATTATTAATTGTGGGGGGTAAAAGTTGGAGAATTCACACGCGATAGAATTTCCTCGACAAATCCAGCGAATTCTATTGGATTTCTATTGAAAATTCTAGTAATTTCTGATTTTTCAATTTTTTTCATCACGCTGTGCGAAAAAGTAACTTTTTCAAGTAACGTCCCTGTTCCACTCATTGTGACGAAAAATATCGTTCGATACTCGTGGGAAAAGTGTTTTTTGGCTCGTGGGAGGTTTATAGCACGAGCCGAAGGCGCGTTGTACTCTTTTCCGCACTCGTAACGAAATATACTATTTTTTCACTCATTTTTCTTTTTTTTTCAATTAAAAAATCAAAAGAGAACACTTGGAAAATTTGTGCCTAGGAGTTCCTATAGAAAATAGCTCAAAAGTATGAGTTGTGGAAAAAAATACAAATGTATTTGAAAAAAACCGGGATGAAAAAAGTTATAGAATTTTTCACTAGAATTGGCCGAAAAATTTATAGAAAATTCTATAGAAATCCAATAGAATGTCTAGTTAGTTCTATTAAAATCACTAGCTTTTTCTATACAATTTTTTTATAGTTAATGACTTCAATGAATAAATGAATAATAATATATGAATAATAATATAATGAATAATAATATAATATAATATAATAATATATATGAATAATAATATAAATGAATAATAGTATATTTCCTTACGAGTGCGGAAAAGAGTTTTTTGGCTCGGAGGAGGTTTATAGCACGAACCGAAGGCGAGTAATATAATCCCACGAGCCAAAAAACACTTTTCCCACGAGTATCGAACGATATTTTTCATCACAATGTGTGGAAAAGGGACGTTTTAAGCACGCGAAGCGTGCCTAAAAAATTACTTTTTCGCACAGTGTGATGAAAATGAATAAATGAATAAATGAATAAATAAATAAATGAAAAAATGAATAAATAAATAAATAAATAACCAAATAATATTTTTATTACTGCATACTACAACTATTTCGTAATACCTTTTTTTCTTACAAAAGTGCATTTTATTTAATGAAGGATTATAGATTTTTTACGACAAACCTCTTCCTCCTCAGCGACCGGTGACTCGTACTTTATTTCACCGGACGGCCCCCTAACCCGTCGCTTCTGCAGACAGGGTACTGCTTTGACAAAGTCCCAAACACCCTCGAAGAACAGATTATTATAGTCGTCGAGGGAGCTCATAGAGTGCACGACAAAATGCACCTCCACGATGTTGGATAGCGACTTGACTGTGATTGGTAATGATCGATTTGAGCACAGACAGTCTCGTTGAATCGGGGAGCCGTTGGGCCATGGCAAATCCATTACCTAATAACAATCATCACGACAACGCGATGAGTTTCAGAAGTGGAGTATGAGAACTTCGCGAAGGAAAAGCGTCAAAAGAAAAACGGTTCAAATCGATTTCGACCATTGGCCAATTTTCAATGAATATCTCGGAATCTGGGGGAGATAGCAGAATTTTTATTATAACCTTTTTTGTAGAGCAAATCAAGCGCTACAGAAAAGGTCATTACAAAAAATTCGTTATCTCCTTTGGATTCCGAGATATTCGTAAATTCGAAAACTCAGCTAAGAGCCAAGTCGACTTGAACAATTTTACCGCTTCGGTACTGAATTCATGTGGAGGGAATGAAAATATATGGAATAAAAATGTAAAAGCAGTTCTGGGGATTCATTAAATCCGCAATTTACCTTCAGGGAAAAATTGCTCTGGCCGACGCACAATAACCGGTTGTAATCGACACTAGACACGCTTTTGCAGGAGTGATTTCCATTCAGCAATTTGTTGAACCTCAGTTTGACGATCTCATCCTGCTCTCCTTCGAACCGATACACGCAGCTTTGGGATAGATTTACAATAATTAGTGTGAAATGTGCACAGAATTTTTTTCACATGCGCTACAGGATTTTTTGCAATCTTCTGTGGGAATTCTGTGAATAATTTCCTTAATTCCGTGCGACCAATCGTCAATAATGAAAACATTTCTGAATGTTGACAAAATAATTAATTTTATTATTTAAATTAATCACATTAAATTACTTCAAATTAATTAAATTGATCATCACCAGTGAATGCATTTCTGAATATTGACTAATTAATTAATTTTATTATTTTAAATAATTTAGCAAGTCTCACCTTAAATTCTTAGCGCCACCCCTTCCATACAAGAATATATCCCTCGGAGCCTGAAACCGTCGGTCAGCGTATTGATCACGATTTCTGCTATAGAATACTCTAGAACAGGGTCCTGTCCCGTAAGGATCTCCATCCTGATGAAGATCCACGAATTCGTAGAGTGCGCGGAAATTCACTGGTCTTGAAAGGAAAAAAGTTATTCCAATTTTTAAAAAAATCGTTAAAAAACTATTAGTTGATGCGAATTAAAATAGTAATGCTAAAAGAATGAATCACTGAGTAAATTAATGAAGATCATAGTAATGAATATTATAATAATGTGAGGCAATGGGATTGATCAATTCTTTTAACTCAGTAAATGCCTCTAAAATCCTCTTTAAAAAGTCATGAAAAATCTGGTTGTAATTTTCAGTTGAGAAAATCTTCAAAAGATTTCTTATAGGATTTTCTATTGATATTTTCTATAGGGAATCATACGGAAAGTTCAAACATTTTCTGTAGAAATTTTTCGATATAATTTTCTATAGAATTTAATTATAAAGTTTTCTATAGGATTATCTATAGAATATATTTTTGCATTCTCTATAGAACTTCTTATAGTATTGTTAATTACATTTCCTATAGGAAATCATATGGAAAATTCTAATATTTTCTATAGATTTTTTTCTATCGAATTTTTTAATATAATTTTCTATAGCACCCTGTGGGATTTCCTATAGAATTTTGCTATAGTTTTCTGTAGGATTTGCTATAGAATATACTTTTGGATTCTCTATAGAATTTCTTATATGATTTTGTATTGTATCTCCTATTGGGAATCATATGAACAATTCGAATATTTTCTATAGAAATTTTTTTGGATTCCAGATAGGATTTTCATATTGTATATCACATTTTCTATAGCATTTTTTGGATATAATTTTTTATAAAAAAATTCTATAGAGTTTTCTATAGAATTTTCAAATGGATTTATTATCGGTAACCTATATCATTTTCTACAATAAATTTTAATAAAATTTGATTGACGCGAATTAAAATAATATAAATAAATAAATGAATGACTGAATGATAAATTAACGAAGATAATACTAATTAAAATTTGTTTCTTCTCGTATACCCTTTCGGGTCTTTACGATTTGTTCCCTTCCCACCCCCCAACCCCCTGTACCGCATTCGCCGAAGGACAAGGGAAAACCTCATTTGAGGGAAAAACCTGCCCAGGTACAGTCGTCTCTTGCGAGACTCCCGCTCGACAATGGAACCGTGAGATTTAGAGTGTCACAAATTTTAGCCCTCCCAGCTGGAATGGAACCCGGGTCTCCCGCACGCCAATCCCACTTTTTTTTTAACAATTGTTTTTATTGAGTGTTTGTAACAGTATATACAATATTTACAAAAGAAAAAAAACGTTTCAAAAAAGTCTATGTACAGATTTTTCCAAAAGGAAGTTAGTGATACGTATGGCCAATTGTTGGGCACTCGCGGATCTACATTGTATCATATTTGTGTGTATGTCACCATATTGTAATTACAATAGGGAATGCTACTAATCTTGAAGTACAGTATTGGGAATGATAGTGGAAAAAAATTTACAAAAAAAGATTATTTTTGACAGAAAAAAATCCACTTCAAATATCATGAAGGCCTTGACTGGTAGCTTATGCGAACAATAAAATTAGTTTTACAAAGTAAATACATTATTATTATTATTATTATTATTATTTCTTAGTTGATCCTTGATCATACAGTATCTTCCCAAAGGGATAATTGCACCATTTATGGTGGACGTAAATTTTGTTTATTTATCTTCATAATTGAAAATCGTGTATTTAGTTCTTGAATAACAGTATTGCCTTCTTTCAGCCACCAGAATTTGCTAGTTAATCTTGAGAAGTCTTCGATATCTTTCTTTAATAGTGCAGTTGAATATATGAGATCATTTGTGTCTGGTATATTCGTTGGAATTTTTTTATTGTTTTTGTGTCGTCTGATGTGATATATAATAGGGATGTTATTAGCGTCTTGGATATAGCCTTTTTTATCATAAGCCAATTCCACACTCTAATCACACAGCCACTGCCGTCGGTGAAGATAATACTAATAAATATTGCAATACTGTGAGGGAATGGGATTAATCAATCCCTTTAACTCATTAAATGCCCCTAAAATCCCCTTTACTCAACAATTCAGTGATTTGCGTCAACAGAATGCAGCAAGGTGTTCGCCCATGATTTTTTAATGATAATTACCTGAGGGCTGTGGACTCGGTCATGCGTATTTCAATAGTCATACTGTTCCCCGAGGAAATGAAACTTTCCCCTAATGTACACGGTCTACTCGTATTCTGCAAAATCAAGTGATCACACGTTTTCGGTAGTTTGTCCTTGCAGTATCTAGCCAACAGTGTTGTGTTTGCCGCTGGTCTACCTCCACTCTGTGGTATTAAATCCCCAGTTCTGTCCATATATCTCTGTCTCTCCTTTCCGCTGTAAATAATGGGCCAGAATTGCGTCAAATAAAACTCGTTTTTTGGTGAAGAAGTGTATTGTATTTTAATTTAGTATTTTAATTCAGTAGATTTGTAAAAATATAGATTTCTAATGAAAAAGTGGTACAAATTTGATAATAAAATCCAGTGGGAATGGTTTTTAATATTAAGACGCCGCGGAAGTAGAAAATAAATTGCTGAAATGGAGGAAAACTTTGTGTCACGAATTCTCAGCGAAAAGGCGATGAAAAAATTTGAAGAATGGCTTAAAAAATGTGTTCCCTTCATAGAAACTGTATTCAGCGAGTTGAGGGTGATCTGAGGAGGATAAATAATTTTAAGAAGTGTTTGGAAATACGAGGAGGGAGCGCCGCCATCTTTGATGCTCCTGGCGGGGGGAGGGCGTACCCAAGCAAGATGGCGGTGCCCACACTTATCGCCCACCTCGTATTTTTAAACATTTCGGAAAATTAGTTATCCTCTGCAAATCACCTTCAACATATTCCATTCAGTTCCCAAAAAGTGAACCAATTTTTAGAGCTATTCTTCACATTTTTTCGGATTTTTTTGGCTGGGAATTCATGGTGTGAATTTTTCCCCGCATTTTTGTATTTTTTTTCCCGAGGCCTTTTAATTCATAAACTCACTGATTAATAAATTCGTTATTGTCTCCTTCTAAATATTAATTTAATTTCTAGCTAATGGAGTCTTTAGGGGAGGGTACCCAGCTAACAATTTACCGGTAAATTTCCGAATATTTACCGGTCTCACTGGGGACTTTTAGATGGCATCCGTAAAAATTTTTCCCTGGGTAGGGTAAAAGGGACACTTTTGACTTTTTTTTGAAATATTTATGACGTGTTGAATTGCTCATGAAATGGAATAATTTTATTTTTCAATTGAAAAACAATGATTCCTCTTTGTGATGAGCTTAGACTGAGCTCAATTGATAAATCTGTTTCTGAGTTATGAATATTTTTTAAAAAGTCAAAAGTATCCATTTTACCCTACCCTCCCCTATTTGAATTAAAAAAAAAACATGTTTAGAAGGCTATTTATTGGAGGTGAATAAAAATACAAATAAAAATCATTACGGATTTGAAATAAAATTTATTACATTCTCAAGATAAATAAGTAAAATAATAAATAAAATGAATACAAATAAAAATAATAGATAAATATATTAATTATAAATTATAATGAATCATGATAATAATAAATAAAAAACAAATAAATAAATTCGTTTTAAAATATTTTTTCAATAAAAAATTTCTGAAAATCATGATAAATAATTGACCTTTACCAAGATATATCATTGCACTCAGACAGTGGAAAAATATCCCCATCCCAGACGAGCATTGTAGTACTGCAATCATCATCACTAGTAGTGGGAATATTCCCAACATGAAATTTGAGAATTGACATCCAAATGCGAAACTGCGGCTGCGCCGGTTTTGGCGCGGGTTTTCTCCAGACAGTGCCAGGTCTAGTTTCCGGGAATTTTGGCAGTGGTCTTGGTGGTGTGGGACTGGGCATCACAGGCCCAGCACCACGCAGGTGATACAGACAAGTCGTGTTTCGTGGCAACGTGTGACGCGGAGATGCCAGGACACCTCCACTGTTCCCCTTCAGCCAGAATTCGCAGCGTTTGTTTTTCGCGTATTCGGGCGACTCAGCGTCTACGAATTTCACCTGTTTGAATTCATTTATTGCTGGTCAGTCATCATGAATTTGAGGGGATTAAATGAGGAATTGATCGAGTTTTTTTTTTTTTTTCTCAAATTGACAGGAAAGAAAATTTTTTGGAGAATAACCCAGCGAATTGTCTACGTGTTTTTTTACTACGAGCGCAAGTACTTCAACTCGACCTATGCACTCACTCTATCGACAAAAAGAGTTGCAGAAAACACTGGGCGCCACATTATCTTGGTCAAATTATTCTGAGGTGATGTCCTGAACCTTAACCGAGTTTACGTAGAAAAATCCCAAAATACTAAACAATAACTAAATAAAAAAACTGAACTTGACGAAAATATCTGAAAAATTGTTAGCTTAATTTATGAATTTAAGGCCCGGATGTACTATTTTTCGAACGGTATCTCGATGTTTTTTTTCATCTTTCGTCATCTGAAATTGTCAATTGAGTTCTGCATCAAGCAAAAGTTTTGAAAAATTATGAATGCATAATCAAAAAAAGTAGAAGAAATTTTTAATTTTTTCAAAGAGCATTTTTAATTTATATTCAGAAGAAGTTAATAACAAGAAATTGAAAAATGTATCTGATTTACGCTGACAAACGGCGGCCTGTCACCCAATATCATGCAGGGGGAAGACTGATTTCGTAAATCTTTCCCCACACTGCACAGAGACATTTGTTACGGAAAGGGGTCTTTGAAAAAAGTTGTAATATTTTGGGGAATATTTTAATCACACTTTTGTCACATAAAAATGGCAGATGACTACATACCACTGTTTTGAAAATTGAGATAGCCAGCTGTCACTTGCCATGAGGAGTTAATGTTTTGTAATCCACCATGGAAAATGACAGCTAATAGATAATTTTCCACAGCGAATCAGTTATTTGTAATTTCCACTTTTTTCAACTCATTCTGAATCCCAATTAAAAACGCTCTTTGAAAAAGTTCAGAATTTTTTCTATTTTTTATATCATTCTATCATAATTTTTGGCAATTTCTACATGATGTACCACTCAATTGACAATTTTGGATTACGAAAGATAAAAAAAATCCAGATAACATTCGAAAGATAGTACACCCGGGCCTTAATTAGAAATATGAGTCTAACAATTTAGGGAATCGATTCACACCAAGTAACCAATTTCAGCAACTTTTCTCGTATTTAAGGTAGCTCGGAGGTTTCATTAAGGATGTTCGACACCCTTTTAGCCAAAATTGACGTTGTTTTCATTTTTCTGGCAAATTATCGATGGGAGTGACGTGAAAAAATATAACGATTTTGTGGTTTGTCATTCTTTAATGGCTCACGAAGTTGCGTAGTGGTGCGATAATTTTCATGCGTTTTTTCTACAGTTTTGTGATTCTTTTTAAAAGTTTAGAGAAAACGCAGGAAAATGTTCGCACCACCTTAAAATTTCGTCAGTCATTAAATAATGACAAAACGCAAAAACGTTATATTTTTTCACGTCAATTCCATCATAAGTTTGCCAGAAAAATAAAAAAAACGTGAATTTTGGCAGAAAGGGTGTAGAACATCCTTAAGGTAGCAGGTAATTTCAATTTTCCGGATCAAAAATTCGTTATTTTTCGATTGTTATGCTCTCTCTCTTTTCACAAATAAATACCCTTCAGCAGGTGACGAATTAACCTGGAATTTCGTCACAGAATAATGGAAAAAATGCTGTAGAAAAATATTTTCTATAGAAATTCCTCAAATTTTTAAATTTTTTACAATGAAAACAAAAAAAAATGGAGAGAAAAAGAATTGAAAACTCATGCAGAGGAATTTCTACCGAAAATATCTCAATAGAAAAAGTTCTATAGAAAGATCAAATCCGTCTGTTTTTTTTTTTCTATAAAAAAATATCTATTGGATATTTTCGGTAAAAAAAAATTAGCAGTAAAATTCTTCGAAATTTGTTCATGCGTGACTGTTCGAGATTATTAAATCGTAATTATTCATCAGCTCAGCATCTCCCATTTCACATTTGATCGCACATGATCAATAACCGAGAGCCAAAACTAGAGCATAAACTTGAGAATACATTTTGCCCTGGATTCAATGGAAGGAAGTAATACACAGACTAGAATATTTCACCTGGACTTCAAGTTGAAAGCCATGGAGTGAGTGGGGTGGTGTGGGATGGAGAAAAGTTCCATAGGGTGATGTGGTAAACTCAACGAGAATTTCTGCCTCGCTGCTCGTTGCCTCCGGCACAGGTTCACCACCACCACAAAACTTGAGGATCACTGGGTCTCGAGTGGTGTAGCCATCGTACACTGTTACGTAGTCCTGAAATTTTTTGCATTCCATTTGAAAATGTGTCCCTATTGATTCACGTTTCGGTGAATACACTGGTGAATTTTATTCTGAGATGTGCAGTTGAATTTTAACATTGGGATAGTCAGCATTATTCAGGGGTCAGTGTACGCACAGAGGGAATTTCTGAATTTCACGTCCCTTGAAATTTCTGTTTGTTCTGAGGAAATTTCCCTCAGGAATAAATTGAAAAAGTTTTGTAAGAATTTTTTTTCGCTTCCGAATGGAAGCTGTGTAATCGTTCAAATTTAAGTTTTGGATTTTTTGGGTTATATCGACCCAGTATGATCCAAAATTCTGAAAATGTAGGTATTGCGCCCCATCGATCGCCATTAATTAAAATTTAATTCATCGATTAATTTTTTTAATTATCGATTTTTTTCGAAAATCGGTTGTCCCACGATAACTAAAAAAAATGTTCTGAATTGATTGAATGATGGCTTAAAAAATTTGTTTGGATGTCCTTTTGACCGAGTTCGATGATGAAGGCGAAAGCAATAATCCTTATTTTGATTTATTTAAAAATTTGCAAAAATTTTGTATTTTTTGAAAATCAGAATTCCGGGGATATCTTTGAATATCATGCTTCAAATGAATTCAATCATAGCTTAAAATGTTTGTTTTAATGCCATTAATTCGAAGTTAAAAGATGATTACGATATATTGGTTGATTTGATTTTTATGATGATTGTTGAAAATTTCAAATTTATCATGAATTTCCCTGAAAGTGAGCTTTTTGATGGTTTCTTCAAATGTGATGTTTCAAATTCATTCAAGTATGTATAAATAAAATTTTTCTATTAACACTTAATCGAAGGGTTGAGGGAAGAGATAGAACCGTGAAAAAGACAATCGGTTGTATAGAAGAATGGGATAATAAGAATAATAATGATGATAACATTCAACTGAGTTGAAAATTTGACAAAATTAGTTGAAAAGAAATCTCATTCAATTTAATAAAATGAAGTAAACAATGAATTATACATGATAGGAGGAAATGATGTGTAAAATAACCATTTGGAAGTGTATTGCTAATTTATTAGCAAAAATAACTGTATTATATGCAATACAAGAGCAATTTCCAACTCGTTTTAAGTTTAAATAATCAAATCATTGTAAAATTTCCGGAAACTTGGGGTCGATGGGGCTCAAATGAAAGCTCTGATGTTCGAAGCCAAAAGTAGAAAAGCACTGGAGAAAAAAATAGCCACACGGAGAGAAATATTCAATAAAAATTACATATCTTTTCCGTAATTCCGGAGCGAAATGTGGTTGTAGGAAATTTTACGGAATTTTCACGGAATTTTTCCGGAGCGTTCCGTAATTTTTATCTGAATCTTCTGTGAAAAATTACGATACCGTCACTTGAATTTTCTGAGTCGATTTCGTAATCGGTGAGTCAATTGTGAGTTCCGTAATTTTTACTGAACATTTCTCTCCGTGCAAAGTTGGATATTCTTAACCCCTCACGTACGGGCTCGATATGTCATACCGACCTATGCAAAAACGCACGGCTCTTTTCAAAATTGAATATTTCCGAAACTATGGCAAATAATACAGTAGTGAAGCGGTAAACCGAGTTAAGTCGATTTTGACTATTAGCCAGTTTTTGCTGAATATCTCGGAATCTAAGAGAGATAGCAAAATTTTTCTCATGACTTTTTTTATAACGCTTTATTAGCTCTACAAAAAAGGTCATGACAAAAATCTTTCTATCTCTTTTAGATTCCGAGATATTCGTCAAAAACTAGCCAATAGTAAAAAACGACTTAACCCGGTTTACCGCTTCGCTACTGAATACAATCGGACTAGTACCATTGGGAAGGTGAATACTGTAGCTTCAATTATATATTTTATTTGTAATTTTTCATTCATCAGAAAATATGGGATGCGAAGAGTATTGAACGTGTGGTAGACTTGGTATCAGAAAAGCCCCGTACGTGAGGGGTTAAACTAGAATTAAACTAGAAATGTCGGAAAGTTTTCTTTCGTGCGGATTCTTTTTCTCGCCAATTCCCCCCTGAATCGTGCGGTACAAGACGAGATTGGCTTGACCTACCTGAACGATATCGCAGTCCTGCCACAATTTAAGCTCTCTTGGTGGTGGCTCAGCCTGATTAGCTGGTCTAGCACGCACGGCAATAAGTTGACCCCTCGGCTGGCGAACGGTTATGAGTGCGTGTTTGCCCGGCGGCACTTCGTGCTGTCGCACCTGAGGAGTTTATCAATTTCAGTTAGTTCGAGAGACCGAGATGTCTCCGAACAACTACACCAACAATGTAAGTTTCAATTCAAGGATCGAATTTCAATTTCTCGTCGTGTCCTAGGGGTAGTGGACTAGTTCGGTCGGACGGAAATAATGGTTGAGCTTGGTAGAACCGAGGGAAATGCCGCAGAACTTGAGTTTCGTCGCTCGATCGGGCGACAGTTGCACGTCTGAGTCGTGAACATTTTTAATGTGACGACTCATTTAGCTCTTAGCTGAGTTTTCGAGGAATATCTCCGAATCTAAGCGAGCTAGCGAAATTTTCGTAATGACTTATTTTGTAGGTCTCAATGAGCTCTACAGAAAAGGTGGTGACAAAAATTTTGCTATCCGCGTTAGATCCCGAGATATTCATTGAAAAGTGGACAACAGTCAAAACCGATGCTGTGTTATCAATTATTTGGACTTTTTACAGGTTTTTAGAAGATGTTTATCATTTTTTATCGAGGATATCATGAGGTTTTTCAATTAATTGATAAAGGGAATTGTTTAAATGTTCGAAAATCTCATTTTTTTCAACTTAAAATCAATTTGAATGGAAAATAGTTTCTGAAAAAACGAATTTTGCCGCTGGGACTCATCAGATTTTTGAAGAATTGATAATGTGAATTCTCTAAATTTCCGGAAATCCCATCTGTTTGCGGAAATGCGATTTTTTTAAACTTAAAATCAATTTGAATGGAAAATAATTTCAGAAAAATCGAATTTTTCCGCTGGGATTCATCAGTTTTTTAAAGAACTGATAATGGGAATTGTTTAAATTTTCGAAAATCATAGATTTTATAACTTAAAATCAAATTGAATAAAAAATTATTCCTGAAAAAACTAATTTTGCTGCTGGAGCTCATCAGATTTTCAAAGAATTGATAATGGAATTGTTGAAATTCTCAGAAATCCTATTTTTATAAACTTAAAATCAATTTGAATGGAAAATTATTTCTGAAAAAACTAATCTTGCTGCTGGCACCCACCAAATTTTTAAAGAATTGATAATGTGAATTCGTTAAATTTCCGGAAATCCTATTTTTATAAACTTAAAATCAATTTGAACGAAAAATAATTTCTGAAAAAACGAATTTAGCTGTAGGGACTAATCAATTTTTTAAAGAATTGATAATGGAATTGTTAAAATTTTCAGAAATCCTATTTTTATAAACTTAAAATCAATTTGAACGAAAAATAATTTCTGAAAAAACGAATTTAGCTGTAGGGACTAATCAATTTTTTAAAGAATTGATAATGGAATTGTTAAAATTTTCAGAAATCCTATTTTTATAAACTTAAAATCAATTTGAACGAAAAATAATTTCTGAAAAAACGAATTTAGCTGTAGGGACTAATCAATTTTTTAAAGAATTGATAATGGAATTGTTAAAATTTTCAGAAATCCTATTTTTATAAACTTAAAATCAATTTCAACGAAAAATAATTTTTGAAAAAACGAATTTAGCTGTTGGGACTCACCGCATAGTAGCACGTGAGATTGCGTGGATAAAGCCCAGGAAAATTGGGCGACTGTAGCCGACACTTCCGTTTATCGCAGTCGCTGAATATTCTCGAGCAATAAGTCCCCGAGATCAGATCCCCAAGATACTGCTGCTCAGGGGTGGCAACAGTCGGCTTTACCTTCTCCGTTATTTTCACCGACGAACTCACGCTTGTGTTCGCGTATTCGATGGGAAAACTCATGGCGGTGGTGGGCCTTGGCGTTGATTTTGTGAGATACGACGCGAATTCTGCGGTGCGAATAAAACATTCAAGAAATTAATGTCAAGAAATGAAATATTTCGCGACATGAATTTCGTTGATTAACATAATATTTCATGATGACAATTTTATTAAAATTCAAACGAATATTTCAACTCGAAATCTCACCGACGAATGGATTTCCGTATCTGACAACGGCATCGGACCTCTTGATCATCTTGTACGCCATGCGAAAATCGAAGTTGAAGCCCGTTTGATCCTGACTGAGCCTCAGGAGCTTCAGGGAAATCGTAACAACCGGTGTTTCGCTGTAGTAAATAGCGGGGCCCCACGATGTGCCGCACCATACGCCACCGACATCGGGTCTCTGCGCTTCCGATATTTGCAATGATCCATCGGGACATCCTTCCACCGTAAAGGACACGAATTTCCCAAGGGTGAAACTGTCGAAGGTCAGCTGGAGTGCAACAGATTGCTGTCTTTATTATAATTTCATTTTGCGAGGAGAGATGCGAGAAAAATGGAAATTTTGTGGGGAAAATTTTTTTCCACTGGAAAAACACACGGGTTTTGGCGATTTTTATGGCGAATAAAATGATTTTTTGCTCATGTTCCTAGGTCTGACAATTGTCGAGACCCCGTGGGGCGGGGCTATCCACAAACGTCCACATCCTGAGAACTACGATTCGTAAAGATGTGAGTTGAAAACCATTTTCTTTGTTATGAAATTTCCTGCATTTTTCACACTGAACGTCTCGATGACTTCTCAATAATTTTCGAGATATTTCAATTGACATTGGGGCATTGTAGTGACAGCGAGAGCACCTTTACTCGAGAGTACATCCGTAGTATACATGTACACATGACTGTGGGCATCGTATTCCCGCCATGCGCAGTGGTCGACTGCGCACCTTCCGTTGAGTTTTTCGTAACACGAGATTTACCAGGGATTACTCTACCACAAAATTTCGATAGCGAGGGCTGAGATGTTTACACATCAAAATATGAAAATGAAGAGAACAAAAATTTGGATAATGGGCTTTGGTAAATTAGGGGATGATATTTATTAGTAAAATATCTCCATAACCATTTAGAAGTCATCATTCATTCCCCTATGATGTTTCATTTTAATAAAAATCACTCATTCCCCGCGTCTCATTCAAAAATCATAAATACCTGAACGATATCCCCGAACTCCTTTCCAGGGGCATTGAACGTCAGCTTGCAGAAGTAAGGCACCTTGTCCTCCTTCGGTCGATGCAACTCGAGGTAATAAGTTTTCCCTATATCTCCATAGTACGTCTTATTGCAAGCTAAAACCCAAAAAGAGTCATAAATCCCCCAAAAATACCGAATCCGATTGAAAACTAACGCATTCCAACAGCAATTGCGTCGCGTCATTCCGGTTTACATCCACAAATCCTCCCCCCCNCCTCCCCCCCCCCTCCCCCCAGCGCCAATTAATAAAACGGCCCTGATCTCCGATATATCACGTCCCAAGGGATCGCGATAATTTCCGCCGATTGAAAATGACCAACTCTCCCTGACCTATCAGTACAAACAGAAGATGTATTGTGCCGAGTCGTCCATTCAGTGCTCTTGAAGCAACATATAGCCGCAGTGCATGGAACCCCATTCTCTCTCCGGTCTCTCCCTCACTCCCACTCCCCCCGCGCCCCTTCAACGCTCTTGGATTCCCTCGTCATACATCCCCGATGAGCCCTTGAAGCCATACAATGAATCCTGTATAACCACCGCCTGTTCACTCCACTAGCGCTAACTTTCCAAAAGTCATGTGGCTACGTGCCACATGAAGCCAACAAATCTGTTTCTTCCTCCATTGTTCATCAAGTGGATGAATTCACCAGATTCATTCAGAAGCGGTTATCATGTTTTTCCGTAACGACATGATAATTTTGTTTTTTCCTTTTTTACTTCTATCAAACATCATGGATTATTGTCACTTGATGAATGACAAGATTAGCCTCATGTTGTCGGCCAACGTTGGGTCAATGTTGAATTCAACGAATCATTGAACTCAAGCTAAAATACATCGTCATAGAAATTCCATTCGGAAGCAAATTGCCGATTTATTAGGAAAAATATGTTGACTATGTTGTGACGAAAGCAATTTTCCACTTGTTTTCTTTTATCGAACACCACCATGGATTATTGTTACCTGATAAATTACAAGATGTACGGCAGTCTTGAGTATGTCTTTATCATTTTTTGACGGTGAGAAAACAGGTGAAACCGGTCAATTTATTGAGTAAGGGAGAGTGGGGCAGAGTGAAGCCTCCTTTGACGATCAAGGCCTGTCCACTCAGCCCCATTCCTCCCCCAAATTATTCCAATTTTACCGTGCGAGTCAGTCTCAGTATTAATGTAAAATTTGTTTGCACCAACAGCAATATTATCATTCACTCTGGATAAAAAGCGTCACTTTTCAACTCTCAATCGCTGAGATGAACTTACCAATGTCGCATTGAATTCACAAGTAAATAGTTCACCTATAATTTTCATTACTAACAAATCTGAGTCAAGAATTTTCCACGTTATCAACTATCAATTCACTCACTCCACACTTTATTGTATTGTTTTTTTTTAATCGAAGAGCCTCAACGCGTCGTAGATATGATTTCACATCGTTTAATAGTGATTATAATTATACCAGATTACGTCTAGATTTTTCTAATTTTCTCATCATCGATTTCTAACGTACACCTCGATCTCTAGGAGTTAACGTTCTACCTCATTCGCTGAGTTATTTACAGTTGCCAGCAGGAACATTTTCTCAATCAAGATTTATTGTTATTTACTCAATCCTATTACCCCTATTTATTCGCTCTTCTAAATTCTTCAGATGAAGCTAAATTAAATTCACAGTTACATAATTCGCCTGTAATGACGCGTGAAAATGCAAAAACGAAAGCAATAAATTTTTAATGAGAAAATTGCGTCAAATCGACAGTCTAAGATTGAAAAATCACGTCATAATGGATGATTGTATTCCCCAATGCATTCACATCACTCGTCCCGCAATTTGCAAAAAGGAAATGAGTGGTAGCCCCGTCGCTTTTCACTCTCGTCCTCTGTCGATGAACTGAAAGAGGGTCTGAAGGAGAAGAAGTCGAGAGCACCACAAGTTGTGAGGAAAAAAAAACATCGTGGATATCCTTTTCATGCAGTCTGCGGCTGGGGCTTTAATGCATCCCCTTTCGTTCGGTCTGTCTCTCCATTCAACGGTAGAGGGAAAAAAACGTAGCTATCCAATCACTTTGTTTAGATTTTCCCTGGGAAAAATCGATGGTAAACCTATTTTTAAGGCATTCTCCTTGAACGTAATCTGGCTTTGACCTTTTAGGGAGACCTTTTGTTCACTCTACCGAAATGGTATTGTTCCGCGGGAGCGATAAATCAGTCGGCGAATAAAATCAGACGATTGAGGTGAAGTAATTCGAAGGTAATTCAGAGGCTTTGGCGAGGGGACAATTACTGATTAAATCTGTATTGAGGGGACAAAATCATGTGGATAATTGCATTTATTTTTAATTATTTCAAAATAATACTTGATTTTTATTTCAAAGAATCAAGTAAGGAAAAATTTCGTGAAGGGAAATAGTTTCGAGTAAAATTGGGAAAAAAAAGAAAATTATCAATTTTTGGTGCAATCAAAAAAAAAAACTATCAAGAAAAAAACTATCAAGAAAAAACTAAAAAGAAATTATCAATTTTTTCATTCGGGTATGAAAAATCTCGATACAATACCCCAAATTTATTTTATATTCTCCATTTTATTTTCGTAACTTTCTGAGACTCAATTATAAACTTTCAATAGAATGAGATTGTTATGGACTATTATTTATATTGAAATTGGGTAATATTAAAAATACAAAATAAGAATTTATTTGGGACAAAAGTATCAAAACGAACGAGAATATTGTGACCTCCTCCCTTGGAATATTGAAATAAATAATTAAGGCAAATTATATAATGTTCAATTCACCCTATTTCCCGAAATAAAATATTAATTACCTAAATAAACACATAAATTACTACAGATGTTAAAAAAATCATTCAAACGTCGAATAAAATAAACTGAAGTAAATGATTCGATAATAAATAATCGCAAGATGTAAGAGAGGAAAAAGGAAATTTATATTTTCAATTTAATTGTATTTGGGAGCATTAAGTAAATTATATTTATTTATCAATTCACACACTAGCTTCTCCCGTGAAGATTTAAAAAATAAAAAAAATTTATATTGAAAAATTTATAATTGTGTAATATTAAAAATACAAAATAAGAATTTATTTGGGACAAAAGTATCAANAAAAAAAAAAACTATCAAGAAAAAAACTATCAAGAAAAAACTAAAAAGAAATTATCAATTTTTTCATTCGGGTATGAAAAATCTCGATACAATACCCCAAATTTATTTTATATTCTCCATTTTATTTTCGTAACTTTCTGAGACTCAATTATAAACTTTCAATAGAATGAGATTGTTATGGACTATTATTTATATTGAAATTGGGTAATATTAAAAATACAAAATAAGAATTTATTTGGGACAAAAGTATCAAAACGAACGAGAATATTGTGACCTCCTCCCTTGGAATATTGAAATAAATAATTAAGGCAAATTATATAATGTTCAATTCACCCTATTTCCCGAAATAAAATATTAATTACCTAAATAAACACATAAATTACTACAGATGTTAAAAAAATCATTCAAACGTCGAATAAAATAAACTGAAGTAAATGATTCGATAATAAATAATCGCAAGATGTAAGAGAGGAAAAAGGAAATTTATATTTTCAATTTAATTGTATTTGGGAGCATTAAGTAAATTATATTTATTTATCAATTCACACACTAGCTTCTCCCGTGAAGATTTAAAAAATAAAAAAAATTTATATTGAAAAATTTATAATTGTGTAATATTAAAAATACAAAATAAGAATTTATTTGGGACAAAAGTATCAAAACGAACTAGAATATTGTGACCTCCTCACTTGGAATATTCAAATAAATAATTAAGGCAAATTATATAATGTTCAATTCACCCTACTTCCCGAAATAAAATATTAATTACCTAAATAAACACATGAATTACTACAGATGTTAAAAAAATCATTCAAACGTCGAATAAAATAAACTGAAGTAAATGATTCGATAATAAATAATCGCAAGATGTAAGAGAGGAAAAAGGAAATTTATATTTTCAATTTAATTGTATTTGGGAGCATTAAGTAAATTATATTTATTCATCAATTCACACAATAGCTTCTCCCGTGAAGATTTAAAAAGTAAAAAAATTTTACATTGAAATTGTGTAATATTAAAAATACAAAATAAGAATTTATTCGGGACAAAAGTATCAAAACGAACTGGAATATTGTGACCTCCTTACTTGGAATATTCAAATAAATAATTAAGGCAAATTATATAATTCTCAATTCACCTTATTTCCCGAAATAAAATATTAATTACCTAAATAAACACATAAGTTACTACAGATGTTAAAAAAATCATTCAAACGTCGAATAAAATAAACCGAAATAAATGATTCGACAATGGATAATTGAGGAAAGTTTTTTCACTCAGTGTGATTATTCCTGAGGCCTCAGTCCAGAAAACAGAGCGGAATATGGATTAATAGCACACTAGTACATACACAATGTTAATCGAAAATTTATCAGAAGGCTCGGGGAAATAACGTGAAATGGTACGGGAGAGAGATCTGGTGAGGACGGGTGAGTGTGGTGCGACAGATTTGACCCAAATGCTGGCCGTCGGTTGGCGCACGGCCAGTTGGCTGTGTCCATTGCTTGTATATCTCCAGATACAGAGCGGAATAAAATAATCAGATATATATATTTTTTTGCGGGTAATCCTATCAATTCTTTGGAGGGCTAAATGAAAGATCGAGGATAGGAGATTTTACTTTTTTCATTCGAGGGATTAATCGAGGGATTAATTAGCTCGGGAGTGAGAGGGCCAGGGAAATCAATTATCTTTCCGTTTTAGTTGTGTCAGTCAGTCGGAAATTCCGAAAACGTCAATGGAAATGGTCGGACTGTTCCAGTTTCATTTCATTAGACGATGTTGGTACATTCCTCACGTTCTGGGTACCGACGATTTTTCGATGAATCGACGGTTTTTTCAGGTTTTGGCCTCTTTAGCTTCGTCTGCAGAATTTGAGAGGTGGAGGGGACAGGGGTAATTGGATTGAGTAATAATAATAAAGTTTGATTGAGAAAATGCTTCTGTTGGATTGAGAGAAAGAGAACATGATAATTCTCGGAGTAGTAATTATTCTCGTGAGAGATTTATTGTTATTGGCAAAACGAAATAATTTCGAGGGGACAATTTTTTTGGGAAAAAAGTATTCTTTCTGCGGTATAAACCTATGGAGCTCTCTCAGATCAAATGATCGTCGTACAATAGATTATATTTTTCCTGCCAACAGTCGGAATTCTTCTAGAGATATTTCTGATGACCACGACAAAACTTAATTTTTGTGAGAGATACTAAATTTCCTTCCGTCGAGTTGGTTAATTTCCCTCAAGTAAATCTGTTCCTCTCCATCAAATATTCTCACGTGGAACATATTGTTTTTCAGCAGAGCAAATTTTTTCTCTCAGTGTTTGATTTCACTCGGCCAATCTCGAGTTATTGATGAGGATAAATATTCCATTTTGCCGCACTCTCTTCTAAGAATTCACGATGAACAATCAATTTGTGAACATTACGTTAGAAAACAAAAATTACATGATTTCAGAGATGATTCCGGAGTGTTAAAATCACTTGATGAAAGTTTCCACCAAAACATGATAATTTTGGTAGTAGTAATTGTTCTCGTGAGACATTTATATCTTTCGGGTAAATACATTCGTTCTACAGAGAATTATATGAGGCTCCGGTTTTATCAAGTGAATGTTATTGAGTAGTGTATATCTTTGTCCAATAAACACTTATAATTTCCATGGAACAAATGATAATTTCAAGAGGAAACTACAATTTTCTTGCCGAAAACTGTGTTAGTGACAGAATTAAATAATTTCGAGGGGACAATTTTTTTGGGAAAAAAATATTCTTTCCTCGTCAATGTATTCTTTCTGCGGTATAAACCTATGGAGCTCTCTCAGATCAAATGATCGTCGTACAGTAGACTATATTTTTCCTGCCAACAGTTCGAATTCTTCTAGGGATATTTCTGACGATCGCGACAAATCCATTCCATTTTCAAATAAATTTTTGTAAAACAGTAATTTTTCTCTCAGTATTACAACACTAAATACCCCAGCGTATGAACTAGAACGTCAACTCCCAGAGGTTTAATCAAACATAATTAAAAATTCCTGATTAATTTTAGAATATAATTGCCTGAATGTTCACATTTTTACTCACGTGAGCAGGCTCGTTGCTCATCACTCCCATCCCCGCAGTCGTCTAGTGCATTGCAGACTTTATTGAGGGATACACAACGTCCGTTTCCGCACTGGAATTCACTTTGACGACAACACAGTACAGCAGTTACCGTTAACACGGAAAGACAGAAGGGCCAGCGCATGTCTGTAATCATGAAAGAGACGGCTGAATATTAGATTTTTGGCGCAGGTGTGGATGTCAAAGGAGCACGACATCACAGGGAGCAAATATCAAGGGACAATTCCATCAGGATGAAATTCAAAACAGGAGTGAGACGCATCTCTCAGTGAAATTTCGCAATTATCTCGTTGTTCTCGAGCCCCGATTCAACCCGACACCCATTCCCAATGATGCAGCAAACTCAGACATTTCTGCCACGAATTTTTCAATTTTTTTTCGTTATTTCGTTTGAACGATTCAAGTCTACTCAACTCTTAGCTCCGTTTTCGATGAATATCTCCGAATCTAAGGGAGATATACAAAATTTCGTAACAACCTTTTTTATAGAGCGAGTTGAGAGCTATAAAAAAGGTTCTGACGAAAATTTCGCTATCTGCCTCCGATCTCGAGATATTCATCGAAAACTGGCCAACAGTCAACATCGACTTGAACGTTTTTACCGTTTTGCTACTGAAATATTTTATGCGATTGATCTTTCATACAAAAGTGCAAACATACAGTGGAAAACTCAATCGAATGCTCCGCCAGGAGGAGCTATCGAGCGTCGAAGGAGCTGAGGGTTCTTCCCCCTCCGGCATAACAACAGAAACGCAAAAAACTCGGGCTCTGTAAAAGAAATAGCGACTGTATCTCTCCCCGATACTCCGTGAAATTGCGAAATATTCCCCTTGGTGCAGCTTGCGCGCGCTCATAGAGACTGGTGAATCGAATTCCCGTCGTTTCCTGGGGAAAAGACAAGCGCAGTTGTTCACGGGATGCCGTCTGCGCATTGAGCCATTCTCGTGACTGAAAGTCACATCACACTTGAGCCGAGAGTTGCCAATATTTACATTTTCAAACGGTTCACGGCCTTCCGCAATTATCTGTACACTCGGTCTAGCTGAAGTCTGCGGCTCTTTTTACGGTTTTATATATGAGGTCGTGGGTGTAATTTACTGTTTTTTTAGTGAGGAGAATTTACTGCAGTCATACGCTGTTACAATTTTGTGGCTGAAATTTCCGATACACTTTTTGGAAAATTTTATCAGATTTTAGGTCCACTGAAATTACAGGGAATTTCTTCATTGAAAATTCAGAATTTCATGGAGAAATCCGTGGGCACCGTAAATTTCTGGTCAATTATTCCCTGAAAATTAGTGGAAATCCGGAAATTTTCGGTAAATATTTTCTTGAATTTTTAATTAATAGTAAATTCGTCGTAATTGGGTACTGAATATTCATTATTTCATTGAAAATTCAAATATCCTGAGGAATTCTCACCTCAATGCTGTTCAAAAATTTAGAATTTCACTGAATTTTTAGTGAACTCAAATTTCATGATTTTTGATTTAAAGTTTTCGATTTTCTGTGTTATATTGACTCAGTATGATCCAAAAAATCCGAAAATGTAGGTATTGTTGAGCCCTATAGATCGCCATTAATTAAAATTTAATTCATCGATTATTTTTTTAATCTTCTAATTTTTTCGAAAATCGGTTGTCCCGCGGTAATTAAAAAAATTATTCTGAATTGATTGAATGATGGCTTAAAAAATGTTTTTGGATGTCCTTTTGACCGAGTTCGAAGATGAAGGCGATAGCAATAATCGTTATTTTGATTGATTTGAAAATTTGCAAAAGTTTTGTATTAAAAAAAAATTAGAATTCCGGGGATATCTTTGAAGATCATGCTTCAAATGAATTCAATCATAGCTTAAACTATTCATTTTAATGCCATTAAGTCGAATTTAAAAGATGATTACGATGGCTATATTGGTTGATTTGATTTTTATGATGATTCTTGAAAATTTCGAATCTTTCATGAATTTCCCTGAAAGTGAGCTTTCTAATGGTTTCTTCCAATGTGATGTTTCAAATTCATTCAAGGATGTATAAATAAAAATTTTCTATCAACATTTTATCGAAGGGCTGAGGGGAGAGATAGAACCGTAAACAAGCAGGGGTTCGAGCCTTTTTGGCCGAAGCCATCTGACCGTTACTTTATGTGTTATAACTCTTTTTCTTTCTTTCATTTCTACCAATTCCATTGGTAGTAACCTTCCGAATGGAACNAAAGTGAGCTTTCTAATGGTTTCTTCCAATGTGATGTTTCAAATTCATTCAAGGATGTATAAATAAAAATTTTCTATCAACATTTTATCGAAGGGCTGAGGGGAGAGATAGAACCGTAAACAAGCAGGGGTTCGAGCCTTTTTGGCCGAAGCCATCTGACCGTTACTTTATGTGTTATAACTCTTTTTCTTTCTTTCATTTCTACCAATTCCATTGGTAGTAAGCTTCCGAATGGAACAGAAAGCATTCGGATAGAAGGCATCGAAACAAATATTTTGAAAAAAAAAATTGAAATCGGTTGACTAGCTTCGAAGATATTAGCGAAAAGCGATTTAAAAACGAATAGCTTTTTCTCAAAAACTATTTGATCAATCGGGCTGAACTTAAGTCCTATAGTCTGACAAAATTTCAGATTTTTTGGAATAAGTTTAGCCAATTAATTACTCAATTTTCCAAAAATTGACCACCGGAAAGGTGGCGATGGACATTGACACCGACAGACATGGTCGCCAAACTTCGTATTTTTACGTTTCAGACCATTCTACATCATTTCCAATAAAAATTAGAGAATGTGAAAACAGCACGATTACAATGCTTCCATTCGGAAGCAAAAAGGCAATCGTTGTATAGAAGAAAGGGATAATAAGACTAATGATGATGATAAAATTCAACTGAGTTGAAAATCTGACAAAATTAGTTGAAAAGAAATCTCATTTAATTTAATAAAATGAAATAAACAATGAATTATACATGATGGAAGGAAATGATGTGCAAAATAACCATTCGGAAGCATAATTCTCTAACCGAATACACTAATTGAACTGAAATCGCGTCAAACATAAAAAAATCAAAGCGCCCCCCCAGTTCTGTGGAATCGTCAAGGCATCACAAAGTGCCCTCGAAAGTTCCCTGAATGCAGCAAAGCCGGTGCCAAGTCAACCATACCCCATGGAAAATGGGAGATGCTTTGTTGTGCGCAGAAATTCGAAGAATTTCCGCTCTCCAGCGAAGATCCAGGGGTGTGGGATCAGAGGCCAAATGTGCTCCGGTGCAAAGATGTCTCGAATACTACGCGTCTGACTCGAGTCTCGGGATTTCAAACTCCACTAAGACGACTCTTTGAAACTTACTGGCGAGATTATCCGAGCGGTTTAATGCACCCCTTCGATTTTCGGAAAATCGATGAATCCAGCGCTAGATCGAGGGGACAGGTCGTCATCAGGGGGATGACATTCTGGCGCCTCGAGGAGACCCAATAATAGTATTTAATGCACTGATATACGCTCACGTTATCTCGCCTGAAACATCTGTTCCCCGGATATTACAGCCCGCAGTGTGTATTTAATCCATCCGATTTCGGTGGACGCCTTCATCCCGAAGCCATTTCTGTATTTCACACCGCTGAATTCGGTTTTCAGCCGGCAATTGTGAGGGACTCCGAGTTAATCCATAAATTCAGTCCCTCCACCTGGCTTTCATCTTGTGCAATATTGTGTAAAATACGCGTGTAATAACATCGGTTAGGCATGATAAGTTAAACCCCGGGGGTTTAGGTTTCACCCTGACTTATTTGATGCTATGAAAATGCTCATGCAGCCAGAAATGCCGATTTTGAATTTTGATGGATTTAATGTTGTGATGTTTATGTGATTACAGCGCTGATTTCTGGGATTTCGGGAAGAATTTCTATGACTTCAAGTATCAGGTTACACTGTTGGAAAATTACTCTTGAAAGTTCATGTGGAAAAGCGTGAAACTTTTAACAATTAATTTTCAGAACGAGTTTGAAAATTCAAGCTTTCATTAAAATATCAATGAACGCTTAATATGGAAAATTCTATTTTCATGATTTTTCAAGATGGATGAGAAATTTTATGAACATTTTCATTTTTAATTAAATTCAAACTCACAACATTAAGAATTCAGATGACGCTGTGACTGAAATTTCAAGAAATTTTCAGCAGCGTACGTGATTTAGAATGATTTCAGAGGAATTGAAGTACACTATTAAAAATTTTGGACTGAGTTTTCTGGGCCAAATTGCGGAAATTTTTGTCGTGTCCGAGTTCCACTGACAATATTTAACGGTAATTATATTTTATGGATTTGGCTATCCCTGCAGGTATCACAAAAAATTAGTTTAAAAAATAATAAATTCCCCGAAAATCACAAATCAAGCCCCGAAATCTCCTTACAAATCACCATTTGAAGACTTGTGTCAAGAAAAGTTGTTTGGCGACAATAAATTTCTCTCAGTGGTATTTGTAGTTTCAATGGACCACGGGCACGGAAGTAAATCGTGTTCCTCCGAGTTTTCCACTTTCTGCGGCATGTTTACTATTTTTGGTGGGTTTTTTTTCCCTCGGCCAGACGTTGGAGAGGTGTGGTCAAGCTTTTCAAAGAGCAAACCTCCGAGAATTTTCCAACCAATGGGATAATGGATGCTCGGTGCATTGGTCCGTTAAAAGTACTTCAGTGTTGGGTAATATACATGACTTGTACGTGAAACAACTTTTTCCGGGTCCATTTGTTTCGTCCATGTGTGGGAGTCCTTTACTGTTTCTCAAAAACTTACAGTTGCTGAGTGAAACGGAGAAAAATTCAAAAAGCCAAAAAAATATTATTCATCGTTGATAATTTTTGATGAGTGAAAAAGTCTCTCTCGTTTGACTGCGTCAGGGAAAATTATTCATTTGAATCAAATAAAAATCTACATTTGAAATTTTTTATTTGTTGCAAAAGAAAGCATTTGATTATATCAAATAAACAATTTATTCATTTCAAATAAAGAGTTTTCTTATTTTTAAAATATCACATTTTCATGCATTTTGTGACGGAAATTCGCCTTATTCTCCCTTAATAATTATTTCATTTTTCTCTTTAAATTTTTTTAGTTAATTTCAATTGATCATT